TGATCAAGTAAATCCAACGCAATTAAATGTTTGATAAAGAAATCTGTCTCAGTGCCTAACTATACTTAACTTAAACATTCTATGTAGAAGACAGTCACTTTTCGATATTCTTGCAGCTCTTAGCCACATTTACGGCAATCAAAAAGCATTTCAACCTTACAAAATGTGTTCATAACTCGAATTTCATTTCTCTTGACTTGCAAAAACGATTGAAAAACATTAAAAACCATCATTTGCAGCTTTGGTTACAAAATAAATTTATGACAAATTGCTAAATAAATGGCAGAGGGACAAAGTGAAAGAGCGAAGGAGGGGCAGGGCCCTAAAACAATAACCACAGCCAGCCAGAGTGGACCGGGCAGGAGTGTGGGCCGTGGTAACCCAAAACGTAAACGAAATGACTTGAAATGACTTTGGCAAATAGTAGCAGACTATTTAATACGCTATTACGCAGCATATCGAATGACAGGCCGAGCCGGCCGCGTCTTTGCTTGCTTTGACAAAGCAACCCCACAGCTAGCAACTGCCTTATTAGTTAACATATGTTGCCGCACCCAGACCCAGACCCAGACCCAGTCTCAGACCCAATCTCAGACTCCGACTCCCAACTGGCGCGCTCTAAGCGAAGTCAGCCACACAAACAACAGCTTGTGCTCATTGCCAAAGTCAATTTTCGGCAAAAGGGCGGCCAAAGCAATTTGTAGCTAAACGCACTGAGAGTACCATGCCACTTCGCCCCCTCCCAGCTGTCTTGCCTTCGCCCCTTTCCACACGTTTGCCGCTCTGCTTGGTTTATAAAAACTTCAAACAAATGCCAGGCGGGCTGCGTGTCAGAAAAATCTGTTACTCACTTACTGATTGGGGCTGAAACTGTAACAGTATAATGTGTCGACTGCTTATGGCCAGGCAACAATAGTGAGGGGCAGAAATATAGTAGATGAGAGCCATTTGAACGCTTGATTTGATTAGAGTAGCTAATAGGTAAAAGTCTTTAGAGCTGTCTGCAGCACTGCTGATGGGGCATAGAAGATGAGGAATAACTTTTGATGCCAGTAACAGCGATAGCTACAGAAGTTTTCTATACTAGATAAGATCCATGTATGCATATTATTTAGTCTAGGGTAAGCTAAAAATATTGTATAGAAAAAGGTTGGCTTAGTAACTATATATAGCTATATGATGGGCTTATGAACTACGATGAGAATGACCATAAATCATATAAGATAATACAAGACCTACCATAACTCAGCAGCTACTATAGCTATACACTTGAAATTTGGTATGCAGTATCTTTCATATACATATATACTCAAGATCAGCTGCTCCAAGTAATCTCCTTCCTATACAAATGGCATTACAATAACCCAATGGGCCGACTCACACAAATCGATTGCGCACACAATATCTAATGTTCCTGAACATTTGAACCCCAAACAATATGCATAAATTATTTGTTCAAATGGCCATAAAAACAAACAAATTGATGTAATACATTAATAATATGCTAGGCATAACAAGCGCAATATTTGTAAACATGCTAAAAACTCATTTATAACTGAATTGCCACTAATGAAATTTATGTGAGAGCGCTATGGCGCTATACAGCTCTAATATATATATTTAAGAGTGGATTTAATTTTAGTAACTGGTTCTATGTATATGCTCTCTAGGCACGCCTTGGCCTGTTAAATGCCAGATCAAATGAAACCTATTAAAAGCCAAAGCCAACATCATAATTTCGAGCTCATTAAACTTGGACATAGGCGAGGATTAGATGGGGTGCGAGGGGATGAGGGGCAGCTCGGGGTCCCATTTCAGGTTCATTTTCCAGTCGAGTTTTTTTCCCACCCGTAGACGCATACTAAATTGCACGCTTTATAATTAATTTCCATCAAAAACAGACGACGAACGGCTCAGGTCCTGTTCGTGGCCAGGACGAAGGCTCCATCTCCGGCTATGGCTATGGCGCCGGCTCCGGCTCTGGCTCTGGCTCTGCCTTCGGGCTGGGCTATAATCATTAATCTTATCGCCGCCTGAGCTTATTATTTCAATTGCTGCATGGTGGGTGGTGGTTGGGTGGCTGGGTGGTTGGCTGCTGCGACAGACGCTGCAAAATTCAATGACCGGAAGTAAGTGAAACAGCAAACCTCCCAACCGTATCGAAAAGGCGAAGGCAACGAAAACTCGGCACGTGGCCGAGGCCGAGACTAAAGACAGAAAGCTAAAGGCGACGACGACGTTCGGCAAAAATCTCTGCGGTTAATCGCTTGTTCAACATGTCAGCACTTTCCAGCTTTGTTTGTGTTCTATTCGTTGTTGTTGTTGTCGCTGTTGTTTATTTATTTATATGCCTGCCGATTATATCCTGAGTCCTGAGTGTGGGACTTATTCCATGCCGTTGACTACAAGTCAATTTAACGCATCAATTTGCGCTATTGCAAAATATTTTAACTAATTATGTGTGGTGGTCAGTGTATGTGTATGTGTATGTGCATGTGGGTGGCAACCCTATAAATTGTTGCAAATTTGCTTGGCTTTTTGGGGGACTTTAGCAACAGAGTGTGAGTGCCCCGCTGTGTGTCCCAGACAGAGCAACTGTGCAACTGTAGCTGTAACTGTAACTGTAACACAACGTAGGTAAACACCCATTGAATAATAACTCAAAAACAGTCGCAAAACTTCGGCAGCGGCCAGGGTAGTCAGGGTAGCCAGGGTTGCCAGGCTAGCAGCAATTTGCTTTGAGTGTTTGCGTCCTACTTGTCTCTCACTGTCCCTGTCAAATGCAGCAATACATAAACACAAACACACTCACACTCGCCCACACACACGCACGCAGAGAGAGTGGCTTACAGCACTTTTGCTGGACCAACTTTTGGGCACAGTGTGACAAAAGTGCAAAGAATGTGAGGAGACCTCAACAGCCTTTGTTTTGGCCATTTATCCCTTAAGTTGAAAGTGTTTTAATAAAGATAATGCCTTGTCTTATGGTTCAGTTCATGAACTAGTTTTGCTAGTCTTTTTGTTCGTTCATTTAGTTCACTTCATTTTTCAATTTTGTAGCGGTTCTTTTTACCAAGGAACTGCTCTATTATATATTAAAAATTCTTAAAATGAACTAGTTCCACATAAAACTATTTCTTCCTCTACTCGTTGCTTCCTTTTGAGTACATTTTCAACTCATTTGACACCACTGTGCAGCCTCTAATCAATTTGTAGCCGCTTAGCAAATGTCTCTCATTTGCATTTATTATGGATATGCCAGCGTCTGCTGTTGGCATTGCAGTTCAAACTTTTAACCCTAGCCACGCCCACACACACGCCAACCCCACACTGTACACCCTCCGGCAACCACAGAAACTTTGCAAGCAAAATTTTTGGCCAGAAAAGTTGAAATTTGACCATGAATTTATCTGCGCCTGTGGTCATGAAAACTTTTTGGGAGCTGGCCCAACTCCTTCTGGGACAGCTCCTGGATAGCGCCTGCTGCACTGCTGCTACGGACAGGCATCCATCCGCAGTTGGACATATTCAATTTACCCATTTCATTTACATTTCCAGGTAAAAATTTGGTTTCAAAATCGTCGCATGAAGTGGCGCAACTCCAAGGAGCGCGAACTTTTAGCCAATGGCGGCTCACGCGACCAAACGCTGCCCAACAAAAACAATCCCAATCCGGACTTGTCCGATGCCAAATGCGATCGGCCACTGACGCCGCTGTCGCCGACGCTGCTCTCGCCCAGCGGCAGTGCCACACCGCCGCCCACGGTGGCGTCAACAGCTGCTACCAAGGATGAGCCGGGAGCAGCAACTGGAGCTGGAGCGGGGGCATTGGCTGCTGTCACACCCAAATCACCGCAATCTGCCAGCAGCAGCTCGCCTGTGGAGGGCGCTCCGACGCCTACGTCGATCAGCAATCACCCAACCGGGCCAAGCGGCTATGGCATGCAAATCAGCTCACCGCCGCCACTGCTCACCAGCATCAAAATGGGCGATCAATCGGGCACGCCCACCCCAACGCCCACAGTTTCATCGGCAGCCTCTTCGCCGCCAGGCATTGGCAGCGCTGCTGACTTTCAGGCCAAGATCAATGCGGAGATGCAGAAGCAACTGGTGGCCGCGGATCTCAAGTTCAAGCTGGAGAGCAGCATCCAGGAGGCCAAGCAGCGCCGCTTTGAGCAACTGCAGCAGCTCCATCACTCGCCTCACTTTACGGCCATGCGCGAGGTGGAGCTGGCAGCGGCAGCAGCTGCTGCGCAACTGCATCATCATCACCAGCAGCAGCAACAGCAACATCAACAGCAGCAACAGCAGCAGCAGGCGACGCCCAGTGGTACGCCCACTTCTGCCGCCCACTTTCAGAGCACGGAGTTCATGAAGCTCTACTATGAGGACTACGAGGACTCCAACTCGGACAGCGATGAGGAAATAAGCGTAACGTGATCGCCAGGATATGCGGCCAGGGAAAACTATATTGTAAATATATGTTTAGCATTTTTAATTGTACATTTTGCGTAATTATCAATATACCTACTTATAAAGCTAATTAATTAATTAATTATTGTACTTAATGTGTGCATATTTTTTCGAATTTAAATTCCAACACAAAATAAAGGTCTTTGAACAATTCACGAAAGAGAATTTTAGTTAAAAAGTTCAAAATAGTAGAAGGGGTACATAGACGGGCAGAGACGGGTTTGTGTCATTGCTAAAGTGGCACAGTGCAAAGTCACCATACATATTTTATGCCAACTGGTTTGTGTCAACACTATAGTGGTAAATCGGCGATCTGGCTTACAGTGCCGTCCAAAATGCCGCTCATATGCAATATACACTTTCGATCTGGCTTACAGTTCCATCCGAAATAAATGTACAGCTCACAATGAATACACAATTTAACAGTTTTATTGTTAACGCAAAGAACTGCGTTATAAATTCAACTAATCTAAGATAAATTCACACTTTACATAAGTAAAATATTAAAATTAGTAAAATAATGTCCGTGGTTAGCCACAGATGGATGCTTACAAACTAGAAATCACTCATTCGACTAAGTTTAGGCAAACTAGGAAAGCTTTGTACATGGAGGTTACGCTTACACCAGGAATCTGTTTTTGCATATTGAAGGTATCTATTTCGGACTGCATTCATCGTCTAGACGTATGGCCAAGTTGACATGACCCTCGCCGTTGGTCGGCTCAATGCACTTCACTGTGGTGAAGATCACTGGATCGTCGCACTTGAAAACATCATCGGTAACGGCGGGATTATCAATGCCCCTGGCCGTAAGCTTCCGTACGCTGCGCCGTTGCACTGCATCAATGATAACCGATATCAGCCAGCCAAGAAAGACCGTTAACAAACAGCCAACCATGCTGAACCACATGTAACTCAGACGAAATATGGACCAGGAGCTAGAGAAGGCCGAATATTCATTATCATAAAATAGTTAATAAGTTATCTGGAGCTATCGAAACTTACGTAAACCCCTCCTCCGCCGGTACCAATAAGCTTTCGCTTAGCAAATCGTCAATGATGCCCGTCACATTCACATGGCAATCGCAACGCTCCACGGAGGTGGGCAAAGCTGGTGTCTCCACGTTGCCCAGCTGTGCCACGACGCCCACAAAGATGACCAGTGCCAATGAGAGGAGCCCACCATAGAAGGCGCCCTTCGTATTCGCCTGCTTGCACGCAATGCCCAACACAAATAGACCCAAAGTAACGCCTCCAATGAGTCCATTCAGCGTCAGTGTGGCCTGCAGCACACCGCCCAAATGTTCCACAATGAAGACCAAACCAAAGGAGCCGATGCCATAGATCAAAGACATCCACTTGGCATAGGTAGCGCCTTTCTCGGGCGAAATTTTAATGTTCATGCCATTGATCAGCAAATCCTCGCAGGTGACAGCAGAAAGTGAGTTCAATGCGGATGCAACAGTTCTGTAAAGAGTATTGTAAGTTTTGAATAGTGTTGCAAATCAAGTTATACTGATTGCGTCTAGCTAGACAGCTGATCTTCAACTTAATCAATTTTAGACCTACCCCAAGCTAGCAGCAAAGATGCCCGCCACAAAGATGCCCGCAATCGTATAGACATGATCATATGTATTTATCACATAGTAAGGCAAGAGCTGATCGGAGGCTGTGATGCGTCCGACACTCAATGGATCACAATCTGCATAGTGACTGAAGACCATGAGACCCGTATAAAAGTTGAGCAAGAAGACGACAACCAGTCCAATGATGGCAAAGCCCAAAGCTATCTTGGCCAGCTTCAAGGACTTGAGAGACATGCACTTCTGCACAGATGCCTGATTGGTGCAAAACAGCGAAGTCCAATAGAAAAATCCGCCAATGACCACGGACCAGACGGTGTGACGAGTTGTGGGACTGGGATCGAAGCTGCAAGGAAGATGCCCAGATTAAAGACGCAGCTTGATGTTAGTTGTAGATAGTCGCTTACTTGAAGAACTCCAAGCGGCTGCGTTCAGCTGCTATCTGAAAAACTTGCACAGGATTACCGCTATAGAAGGAGCCCAGGAAAACGATCAACACTAAAGAGACGGCCAGAACAGCAGCCTAGGGAATATTACATAATATAGATACATGCCAAAAATAATTTGAATGCCTAAGACTCACTTGAAAGGAATCAGCTATGACACACGCTTTGATGCCGCCCATCGACGAGTAAAACACGCAGACCACATAGATAAGCACCACTGCTATTTTCGTATCCAAGCCCGTTGCCTTGGACAAAGCTATAGCTGGAGCCAGGACAGCCACAGCCGTATAGAAGCACATCTGCAGCGAAAGAAGTGGAATGAGCCAAATCCAAATCACAGCTGAGTCAACTTACCTGTATAACATAGAGCACTGCGCCCAGGATGCGTATCTCCTTGCCAAAGCGTATGCCCAGGTACTCGTAGCAGCTGGTTAGTTCCATTTTGAAGTAAATTGGATAGAATACCTTGACAGCCACGGGTATGACCAGCAGCATGGGGATCACAATCAGCACGAACTGTGTGCCCTGGAAGTACATCTCGGATGGATTGCCCAGCAGCTCAATGGCTGTGATGAAGCTCGTAGTTAGACTAAGCGTCACAGGCAGCAAGCTCATGCCTGAGCCAAGCAGAAAGTCATCAGAGGAGCTGCCGCCCGTCTGGAAGAAGCCATAGAAGATACCGATGCCCAGTGAGACGACGAGCATAGACAGCAGAATGATATAGTCAATGCCTGAGAAGGTTGCCTTGTGACTGGGCTCGCTGCACTCCTCCAAGTCAAGGGTAGCCTCCAACTGCTGTGTCTTGAAAGCTGACAGCAGCAGTGTGGCTGCATCATTAAACTGCAAATGCTCCTCAGAGCTAGCCGACGATTCGCCACGCACAATCAAATACTTCTGCTCAGGTGTGATGGGCAGCTGCTGCCGTTGCGGGTCCTGCTTTAGTGTGTGGGCGTTAATAGAATGCGCCAAGGCGCAGAGTGTTAGCAATTTCAAAATGGTGCCAAACATGTTGCCAATGTGTTTCCTCAGAGATGTTTAACTAAGTTACACAACCACAAGCTGCAAAGAAATACATAAACATAAACCAAGTTTAGTTATAAATTAAGCCAAATAATTAAGCTTAAATATAGCTAAGATACATATGATATCCATATATATATATATATATATATATATATATATATATTTGTATTATACTATAAATTCTTGATAAGTTCAAGGTTTTACAGTGGCGGCAATTACAAAGCTCCGTTGCTGTAGGCGTCGTTAATCAATTAAGTATCTGCCTGTATCTGTATCTGTAGCTGGAAATGTATCTGTGAGATACACACAATTCATATATCCAATGAGACGCAGTTCAAATATGAATTTGTCATTTCCTTACATAAACAATTTTATTAAGTCGCCTCCATAAAATGTTCACTGTATTAATATTCATATTTTTTATGGGCCCGAAACGAAACGTTCTTCGAGGACATGGTATTTACTTGAATATTCTTCGAATTTTGTTTACAATATTTTATGAGTGTGGAAATTGATTTGATATTGAGATAATAGTTAATATTAATTGGGGTAACATTAAAATAAATACATTTCATTTCGGAATATAAAAGTATTTCATTTTATGCTTAAATTCATTGTTGACTAAAATTTTATTTTGCAAATGAAATAAAAATTAAAATCATAAAAATTTGGTTATTTCTATTATTATCATCTTATTTCTAATACATTTTTTTTTAATAAAATCATTAATTTTCTTATTTAATAATTAGTTTTATTTTATATACACTATATCTTATTCTTATATTATATTTAATTAAATTCCGACTTAAAATTGATTCATGAATGTAACAGAATATCTGAAAAGCAACTCCTGGCCCATAGGAACATGTGAGCAATATGCGCGCAAATCAATGAGTTTAAAGCAAACCTAACTGGTTCGTGTTGGAAATGCCGGCTCGTGCCAGTTTTGGCTAGAAACTGTGACTGAGGCCAAGAAGCAGGCGCAAGCAAGTGACGCTGTCCAAGAGGCAAAGAAAAATGCCTATCGAGCAGACAGGCCTGACAGTCCAGACGATCACAGATTCTTAAAGGGCGCAGCAGCTCTCTCTTTATCTTTATTTTATTTCCTACTCTCTCTCTAGTTGTCACTTCCTCTTTCTTTTTTCCACTTTCCTCTCTCGATCCACCCTCCCTATCGTTCTTTTTCCCTCTCTCTCTCTCTCTTTCTATCTCTGTCTATTAATCAATCTCTTTCATCTCTGCATCACCGCCGCCTGCTGCTGGCGATCTGTCTGAAATGAAGCTCAATTAATATGCGCGTATCTTTGGACAACATTTCGCTCTGCGGCTATCACGATGTCCGTCCATGATTAAGAACAATAATAACAAATATAATTTCACAATAATAGTAGTGAAAAGAAATGCTAGCTGCCGACAAGCTGTACGCAATTCCATTTGACATATTTGAAATTTGCTGCTGTTGCTGTTGTGTGCATACAAAACTTTATTGTTGATAATTTACGAGTATTGCGAAAGCAAACTCTGTTGATATCGTCCGACGGAATGAGTTACTCTCCGAACACAGATGTCTAATAAGTATATATATAAATTTGTAACTGTAAATATTTGCATTAAAAATAGTTCATTTTTTACGCTTGGTATGGTAATAATTGGTATATTGATTCTCAGCTCTGTTTAACATACAGATTGCACTCAATTTTTCTCTGGGCTTCATTATAGTTTAGGGAAATTCATTAAGGGCTTTACACAGTAACAGTAAAGCATGGCATTCCAGCCAGCAAATAGCTTTTGTAATATATATTTAAATATATATTTATATATAATATAGTGAAGTGAAATGAAAAGAGTATATTTATGGGGCAGTTTTTGCTCAGCTATCCGTAGCAGCATTTTGTTGTAATTCAAAATAAATACCCATTTTGGCTAGTTGCTAAGATTAACTGGATCCACCCAGTGAATGTGTGGCAAATCAACAATTACTATATTTTGCACAATATAAACTCTTTTATTTATGACCTCAACGAAAGTTGAGAATTTCAATTACAAATAAGTACTTTCAGACATATCCGTTAGGTACACGTATAACATATATGTACAAGCAGCTGTCTCTCACATGAATCAATAAGATGATCAACAAAAAAAAAATACATATATATATATATATGTGTATTTTATGGGGGACACAAATTAAGAAAAATTTATTAAACAGTTCATAAAGCTGCCACCGCTGATTTATTTATTGATTTATACTTTGCAATTTGTTACTTTGAACAAGTATTATTTAACAAATATTGTTTGTTTATACTAAATACCTTTTTTTAATAATATTGTGTAACTGTTTATATTTTACTCAACATTTTTATTTTTTAATATAATTATATACTTTTTTATGATTTTATCAAAAGTCGATCAAGTCAGCAAGTCTATTGTGCAGTTTGCTCTATTGTTTATTAATTAGCTTTGCATGTGCAGTTAATATAATTTAATTAATTTATTTATTAAATGCAAAATAATAAATACGAAAATAAAATTATATTTGAGCAGCTGCATTTGCTTTTGGTTTTACTTACATTATAAAAAACTCTTTAATCCTTAGGCCTAAAGTCCTTTGATGTCGCTGAAGTCGTTCCGTTGTATACACAAAACTAAGTTAAAAATGTTCTAAATTGTATTTGCAAAATAAAGCCGCGATTGTTTTTATATTTCATTAATATTATATTCACAATTTGAAAACTTTTTTTTTTAATAAAAAAAGAACTGCACAGCACTGGGAGCACAGGATTTGTTAGGCACTGCAAATTTAGTTAGTTTTTTGTTGTTTTTTATTTATTTGTTTTATTTAAACATAATACTTTTTGTCTATTGAAATATACAAAATAAGATATTGTGTTCTCGTATTTATCGGAGCTCGAGCGTATTGAAAGTTTTCAAATGAATGACTTTGTCTGCGTATTGTCAGGGGCTTTTATATGGCCAGCACACGATCGATGCGACGCCGATTCGCTCAGTGTCTTAGGCAAGACCCCAAATGGAGAGTATACCAAAAGCCCTATACAGAGAGGGAGAGAGAGTCTGGCCAACAAATAGCAAACAGATCGAAGATAAGGAAAGACAGAAAGAGAGAGAGAGAGAGCAGAACGCAGCGCACTCAACGTAGACCTGGCTGAAGCCTTAATTGATATCTTGAAGAAATTCATAATAAATAAATGCATTTTGTAATTTTTATATTTCCCATTTAATAATAAACTGCGATTGGGCTATATACCAAACTGCGCTAAAAAGAAACGTTTTTTTTTTGTCTATTTACAGTTGCAATGTTAGAAATTTCTTAATAATATAATACGATATGGTTACAATTTCGTTTATATTTTAGAAATAGTTGTAAAGCCTGATATTACATGAATATATAGAAAGCTTTTAAAATAAAAGTGAAATTCAATCTATATCTTTTTATTAATAATTATTATATGTCTTGGGTGCCCCATTAAAATGTATATAAATTATTGAATAGAAATACAAGACGAGTCGATCGAGTTCTAGCTGTGTCTGTATGTCTATCAGTCTGTCCCTTTATTCGTTTCTCTGTCTATCCACCGAAACATATATCCATACATATTATAAAACTCGAATTATTTGAACATATATCTCCACATCGACATTATCCACATTAAAAGAGTTGTTAATTTGATATTTTACATTTTTAATGACTACTCTCATTCTCCCTATCCACAACAGCAACTCATTACATGGCTTAGGGTATGCGCTAAACGTGCCCTCTCAACTTGACTACTCTCATTTGTTTGGTTAATAATTGCGTGTTGAACAAACAGTGTGTAAACAATTCTAATATAGTCATGCAAAAGGGATTTTCGGAAAATACTGGCGACAACTTCTTTAAAGCGGAATCCCCAGCATCAATTGAACACGCACCCAAAGGCTAATCAGAGGCGCCGCTTGCTCCTACTACGCCTGCTCATTATAGTGTAAAACTGATATTACATGAAGATATTGAAATGCAAAACAACTTAGCACAACTCAATTATAAGGCTATGAGCTGCATCCACGCCTCCATGAATAGGGTGGTTCCACAACTAACGCCCTTTTGTGGATGCAAATAACTGAAAGAGGGAAAAAATTGCAGCAATTAATATTTGAGCATTTGTCTATACGATTTTTATCTCAATTGGTGCGGGGGGAGATCTTACGTCTCTTGGTTATGCATAGACATATGTATATATTTGGTGTCTCATGCTTGGATAACGATAACGAGTTCGATCTGGTACCGATTTACAACGAGCAACCGGCAACAATGGGCTTGTGTTCTTGTTAATAGAAAATTATTTGTTTACAATTATTTTGATGTGTTCTTTGCTATTCTTGCAAAATGTTGCTAAAGTGTTTAATGTTAATTGAAATGTATTAGAAATTTGAATTGAAAGCATTTGTCACTTAAAGACAAAAAGAAAGAGACTGACACGTCGACAGAGCAATAAATTTTTATTTAAATTTAGTAATTGTCACAAGGGTCTAACTTTTGCACATGTATGGCCCATGTGCAATAATTTTAGCAATAATTAAAAGAGCGACGCATAATTGACAAAAATAGGATTATCTAGTTGGGATTTATGTGGCACAGAGATGTGGAAACTACATCTTTGTTGAGTGTTTCTTCCCATTAGAGATCGATGGATTATTATAAAAATATTTATTTAATGATATAAGATATATAAGCCAAAATTGAAGAATTTTTAGTTGGCCTTTGGTCTTTGGCTTGGCTGTCTGTACGCCCCTGAATTGGAAGAAAACAAATAGAAAAGAAAGCGTAAAAGTCAATTGTTAATTGTTTCTATTAATGAAAGTGGGCGTTCAAATTGCTAAAATTGACGGCGTCTTACATAAATAGCATTAATTATTGAATGTGTCTCAATTGGAGGCAGACTTGATCTAAACTTAAATGACTCATTGCACATAGATCATCAGGTAACTAATACTAAGTCACATTTACTTTTTGTATTCAAAGTTAACAGAGCGCGCCATTGTGGCAGCTGTAAGCATAAATGTAAAACTCAAAATGGTGCTGTTAACTGCATAACTATGGTCTCCCGACAAACGATAGTATCGTCAAACATTTCACAGCTCTGAAAGAAAACAAAACTTGAAAATTTTGCTGAAAATATAGAAAAATTAGTAAAAACAAACATATTTTATAACAAACTGCGTTAATAATGAGTGCGCCAGCCGCCCCTACGGGTATACAGTGCACCGCAGGCGCGGTGCCTATTAGAAATGAAAAGGGTAAGCTAGGCGGGAATCCGCATTGAAGAAACTAAATAAATCTTTATGCCTTGTTCCAGGCGAGATTTCTATGCAAAAGGTAAAGGTACAGCGTTATATATCTGGCAAACGACCTGATTATGCACGCGCAGACTCCAGCTCAGACGAGAGTGACGATGATGATTTCGTGGACAATCGGAAGCGTTTGGAGCGACACAAAGCGGAGCGCCACAAACTTGAGCTGTCACGTCGTGAAAGCGGGGATGAGAAGACAGCGGAGCAAGAGGATGAGGCAGAGGTAGATGATCCACGTCTACGGCGTTTGCGCGCACGTCCAGTTGACACGGAAGACTTGGAGCGCGAACGCCGAGAACGTCACAGGCACATTCATGAGCCCGAAATGGTGGAAAGCGCTAGCGAAGATGAAGAACAAGTTCCTGACGAAAACAGTGAACAGCAGCGAAGAATTGAACGTGCCACCAATAAGATTACTCTTGCATCTGAATCGGACACGGACTCCGAGCTAAGTGACACAGAATTGGAGAAGCGTCGTTCAAAGTTGCGATCGCGTATGTTGCAGCAGCAGCGAGAAGAAGAGGTGCTGCAAAAAGAAGATGAGAAGCAGTCGGAATCATCCGAGTCTGAGAGCTCCGAATATGAAGAAGAAACGGAGAGCGAAGAAGAGAACGAGCCTCGACTAAAGCCGCTCTTCGTGCGCAAGCGAGATCGAGCGACCATACAGGAGAAGGAACGCGAGGCTCAAAAACAGAAACAATTGGAAGCCGAGGCCAAACGTGCTGCAAAAGAGAGAAGACGCGCCACATTGCGCATGGTGGAAGAGAGTGTAAAGAAGGACTTGGAAAAAATAAAGCCAGAGACGAACGAAGCATGCATAGACGATGTTTGCACTGCCGATGAAAACGATGAGGTGGAGTACGAGGCATGGAAATTGCGCGAACTGAAACGTATGAAGCGAGATAGGGAAGAGCGCGATAAGTAAGTGACTTAATTAATTCTAATATAAATTAAGAAAATATAATTATTCACTATAATTATTTGAATATCAATTTTCAGCGCTGAACATGAAAAACTGGAAATCGAGCGCATGCGAAATCTCACGGAAGAGGAGAGACGCCAGGAGCTTCGGTCGAATCCCAAGCTTGTGACCAACAAGGCAACCAAAGGCAAATATAAATTCCTGCAGAAATACTATCATCGCGGCGCATTCTATCTAGACGAAGAAAACGACGTGCTGAAGCGAGACTTCGCACAGGCCACGCTCGAGGATCACTTTGATAAGACTATTTTGCCGAAGGTGATGCAAGTGAAGAACTTTGGGCGCTGTGGTCGCACCAAGTACACGCATTTAGTTGATCAGGATACCACGAAATTCGATTCACCATGGTATGCTGAAACCTCCAACAACATGAAGTTTCATAACGAACGCGCCGGCGGCATGAGACAGCAATTCGACAAGCCAACAGGCTCAAAACGAAAGAAGTTGGAATAGTAAAAATGACAATTGTAAAAAAGTTCAAAAGTAAATACAAATTAGAATATAATCTCCAAATATAAATAACTGGCACAATTTTTAGAAAAAAATAATTCGATAAATACATAATACATAGACCATACAAAATATATAACTAGGTGATTAAATGCTGGCCAGTTACAATGTAAATCCAACAGTTTTTTTTTTGCACTTCATCTGAGTGCTTTTACACTTATATCTATCTATTTGCTTATCTCTAGAAAATTTAGCTTGTGCTCATTCAACAATTCTACTTTATGCTGTACCAAAGCTTGCATAACACCTTCAGTTTTAATGTATTGTACATTCTTGTAGTTTCTGAGCAGCTGCCAAACGTGCTTATCTTGCTTACTAGCAATCACATATAGTTTGTTCTTACTTGCGATTGAAGGCACCTTAGTATGCACGGTTCCACCGGCGCATTCAATAATGGCTGCAATAAAAAAACAGGTCTTTTAAATCAATTGCGACCATTGAGCTAGAATCAATTACCTTTCATATCCTTCGCACTCGGCTGGATGCCCTCACCGATCATAAAATCTAATCCTTTCAATAAACTGGGGGTTTCAAATACTGATAACGGCTGAAACTTAAACATCTGCTCGAATTTGTCGTCCTTGAATATATGCTCCGATTCAACACTAATGGAACAAGTTTGCTTCATAGCATATAACCATTGACTGGACAATATGGGTTTATTTCCAGCAACTCCAATCAAGAACTTGTAGGTGCGTTCGCCTCTATCCATGATGACCAAATCGCATTCCACTGGATCATTGGTGACTTCTATAGCATCTATAAAAAGTAAGATATATTATTAATTGAAATTTAACTAAAAATCTTTAAGATGAAATACTTTTTAAAGCCGCCATAACTGAAGTCAGCGCAGCTTGATTGCACATGGATAATGCTAAACGAATTTTTCGAGATCTTTTTATTTTCTTGATGTAGTCGTTTATTTCTGAAAATCAACATATATTAGAATTTCTCTATGACCTAAAATCTTAAATACTTACCTGTAACTGGATTTCGACTAGATACCTTGTTTCTACGAGCATCTTAAAAGAAATGCTAATGATTTATATCAAATATATTGTTAGAACTACTGTACTTACTCATTGTTTGAGCATTAGAGCTAGTTGTTGGGCCATCTTTCATTTGGCCTTCAACAGCTTCCAGTAATACTCTGTTATTGCGCAAAGCTCTGATAGATGGCTCACTACTAACCTCTTTTTTGTCATCAGTTTTAGATTTTGGCTTGGGAGCTATAGATAAGAAATGTAAAATTTAATCTTCGAAGCAAACCTCATAAACTCACAATCAGCTTCGTTGGTTGAGTGGGCATTTCCTGCTTTGTTTTTTTTGGCAGGTGCCTTAACTGGATGCCGTAATTCTTTTCTTGGTATCAGTGTTTCGTCCTCTTTGCTAGCATCTTTTTTATTTTTCACAACATCTTTACCAGTTTCTTCAATAATGTCAATTAACTGAGATCGCCTTCTTGTTCTGCTGCTAATTGGTTGTATATCGTGGATAACGTCTGGTTGATCATTACTTGAGTCATTTTTCTGCTTAGATTTTCTAGTTTTACTCTCTTTGCTACAACTTGCAGCTTCATTGGCAAGTTCAATTTGTTTTTTGGCAGTTTTTGCTACCACTTTAACTTCACTGCTAATATTCTCACTTTCTTGTGTTGTATTTTTGCTGCCACGTGCTCTGCCCCGGAGTCGGCCTTCAATGGAATCCTTTTGATTAGATGCTTTAATCTTTTGTGCTTTTGCGTCTGAAGCACTTTCACTAATTAGCTCTGATGTTTTTCCTCGTGTCTTTTTTAGAGCTGCAAAAGAATCAGAATTAAAAATGAATATACAAATATATTTTTTTACTTACGCGGATCCGCGTTAGCTGTTAATGATCGCTTCAATCGCGTTCTGTTTTCTATCGGAGGAACTTCAACGTTGTTCTCCTCTATTTCAGATGCTACAGCTGATTTTGAGATTTGTCTTGTGCGTCCTCTTTTGCATGCTGGATAAGAATTATTTCAATGAAACAGCTGTATTATATATTATAATAACGTACGTAAGGCTGCTGGTGATTCTGAACGAGAGGAACGTTTACGGCCGGTATTGTTTTCTAACTGTTGCTGGTCCTTCTGAACGTTTCCCGATGTTTTGGGTTGCTGAATCTACGTAAAAGATTTAATTTGATAAAGGAAATCAACTTGAAGAAGGTTTCAGTAGATTAATGAACTGGGTGCGTCTTTTTTTTATGTTTAAGTACCTTGTTAATACAATTTTCGACTGTGTTATTAAATTGCTCAATAAAATATTGCTCGTCTTCGTCGGATGAAGAAAGCGCAATCAGTTGACTAAGCTCTTTATCAAGTTCATCTCCCATTTTAACTGAACTAGGAACTTTCAAATACTCAGCATCGTTTTCATTAGCTAAAAGGAACACGTTAAGGTTAAGGTTATCAATCCACTTAAACATATGTCCTTTTACCTGAAGTTTTATCACTATTCGTCGCGGGAGATATAAATAATTGAGTCTCCAACATATCTTCTGTATTATCACCTATTTTGGCAGTGATCTTTAATATTGTGTCGACCGTTTGGTTTAGTGCTGCTTCAGACGTTCGAGACGGTTTAATGAATGCCTGTGTTTCAATAAAGTCTTCTAAATTTCCCTGAGCAATATTTGATAAAATATCTGATGTCGTTTCCTTTGTAGGAAATGCTTGCGTTTCAATAAAATCTTCATTATGGTTATGAATTTGGGCAGTAATGCTCAATCTTGTGACCGTAAACTCCTTGGATTGCGACACAGGTGCTCGTGGTCTTACGAAAGCCTGTGTGGCAATGAAGTCTTCCAAATTATCATCAGATGTACTCGATTTGCGCTCTTGCGTTAAGTTTGCTGCAGGCACTGCATGCGTTGCTATACAATGGGAGTTATCCAGCAACTCCGCTGGCATGGAATCTGGCGTCTCAATGCTGTCAACTGCTGATTGCTTCGGTTTGTCAACAACTTTAATCGATGGACTAGAGAGCACGGTTGAAGGCAGATTTAAGTCAGGTGTGCAAGAGCCGAGACGTTCATTTCGTTCGGTATTAAGCACGTCAAATATATCTGGAGTGCAAACATCCTCAATAAGGTCTTCAGAACTTTTACCTGGTAGAGATAAATCTGGAGTTAGGCAGATATCGCCACGCGACAACGAATCATCAGCCTTGGTGCTATTCAATGCAGTGCATTTTGAATTAGATGCGGACCAATTCAAGGCACTCATATCCGAATCAGCTCCCGTGTTATCTAAAAGGATCGTTTAATCAATAATACACAGTTAAATAAAATTTGTATTACCTTTTGACTGCCTGGCAGGTGGTAGCACATACATCGGTCCATCCCCAAGCACAAGCGATGAATCAAAATCGTCAATAGCATCTTCATTAATTTCATTGAATTCTTGAGTGCAAATGCGTATTTGAGTACCGAACTCTGAACAATCATCTTCACTGATAATATCCAGTTCATGATTCATTAGAACTGGATTATTACCAGCATTGAGCAGAACATCTTGAGTTTCAGGTATTAGAATATCATCGCCCAATGATATCTTTGATTGTTTGCTAACCCTTGCAGATCGATCAAAGCAAATAGCCTGAGCTTCAGGAATGATGAAACTATCTGTAATTCCTGTATTGTTAACTGATTGAGGTTCCGATTCGGGAATGTTGAAGCTATCGCCAGTTATATTTGTTGACTTATCTCTTCTAGTGTCCTCATCAAATCCGCTGGTATCGTTTGACTAATCAGAAAAGATAAACTAATATTATTTTGGGCCTCATTGTATAGGATTTTTTACCTCTTCGTTATCCAAACGTTTGGCATCGTTAAAGCGCAATTTGGCAGTCACATTGCCAAAACGCAAATCAATGTGTCCATTGATAGCATCTGCTTCGCTTATGCTCTTGATTTCCAGTCCCGTTTTAAGGTTGTTCACAAAAACGTCGCCATTCACAGCTGCTAAGCGCACAATTCCGCCGGCTAGCAAAGCAATTGTAGCATGTGCAAGCTCTACGGACTTCAAATAGATGAACCTTGTAGTGCCAATTGCAAAGAAATCAATCAAAGGAACTTACCTCATCCTCAATAGAAAATTCAAGACCCAGCCGGCGTCCCACACGATATATTATGTTTGGTTCAAGCTTAACCGCTTTATTGTTGACGATATCTACGATTATGGTCACCATATTTATAATATACAATGATTAAAATACAAAAAATGGCGCGAAAAACTGTGATAGCTTATAATACACATTTAAATTCACTTAGATGTTCCCTTTTACGAATTGGCATCAACACGTAACAAAGTCGTAGAAAAATGTAAGGGCAAACAAACAAGCGGTCTAACAACAAAAAATTCCGTCAATACAAAAAATATAAATTTACGAAAAACTTATCATCTGCCAGCCCAGCGGCCGAAGCACAAGTGTGACCGCTGCAATGTTATAATCAAAATGTTAAGAAGAAGAGATGCCAGACTGCGCACCGTTCTTTACATTAATATCGCTGTTATACAAATTTTACATTCTCTATATTTTGACAGGGACGTCAGTCTTCGTGACAAAAACAAATAAAATAAAACAGGAAAACGACATTTATTTGTAGTTTTTTTGTAAATAATTTTTCACATGTGTAAATTTGCTTAGTGACAACTAAAAACATGTCCGCGCGAATGCTAAAGAAGATGCAGGGTGGCTCAGATATTCTAGCACCGCCGCCAGATGATGAATTAGACAACGACCACTTAACTGACAATGACGAACTCGACACGGTCAGGGGAAAATCGCATTTAAATCCATTTGATTTGGTAAGTACCCATACGTTTTCAATGTGTTCTGCTAACGTTGAAAATATGGGACTTACAGCTCAACCAACAAAGTCTCTCCGAGAGTGAATTCAAAGAGGATGACAACGAAACGGAGCATCCATCTGCGGCCATACAAGCCAATACCGCTGCGAAGAAAAAGAAGAAGAAACGGAAGAAGAAAGTCAAATCGCATGGTAATCATATCAGTAGTGAGGATAACGAGCGCCAGGACAAATATTTCGAAAAAGTTGATCCGCTTCTTGGTAAAGTCTATGATGCAGTGCCCAAACAGTTAGAAAAGACACCACTACTAACTGTAACAGCACCTTTAGGAGCTGAAGGGGGTGGGAAATTGGCCAGCAAAAAACTATTGATGGTAGAGCTTAAACACTTGAATCAACAAAACGAAATGAGACGTACATTTGGCAGACGCGTTGTCAAAGTTGAGTAAGTTTCTATGTTGTCTAAGAAATATCATTTATTCATACTATATTCCATTAGAAACAAACGTGGTCGCCAAAAGACCACGCTAAAATCTACCTATATGGTAACTGCCAAGGATTCATGGCCGCCATTGACCAAGAACATTATCACTATGAAGCTGCTACCAACACCCGAATCGCCTAGCTCCTCCACTAGTCCGAAAATTCAAAAGAACGATGAAGAAAATGTTCAATGGTTTACCTTCCAGCATAGTCAGTACTATCAGGGCGTGCAGCACATGTTTTTGTCAGCATTAGAACGCATAGATTCGGAATTCTTGATCACGTTAATTAAACGTTGTCCCTTTCACGTCGATTCGCTCGTGCAGCTGAGTGAGGTTTGCAAGATGACAGAGGACTTCGCTTTAGCATCCGAATTGATTGAGCGTGCGCTTCTACTGCTGGAATCCTCTCTGCACATCAACTTCAGCCTGACGTCGGGCAACTCTCGTCTAGATTACCGGAGGCAAGAGAATCGTGCCTTTTTTGTTGTGCTCTTCAAGCACGCTCAGTACTTGGAAGAGCGTGCCTGTTGCCGCACAGCATTTGAGATCTCCAAGCTGGTCTTAAGTCTGCAACCAGATGTTGATCCTTTAGCCATGGTGCTAGTCATCGACTATTACGCCTTACGAAGCAAACAATTTGGTTGGCTTGTGGAATTCTATGAACAATACAACGCATCCCGCAATCTTGCCCAGCTGCCCAACATGGCATACTCGTATGCACTGGCGCTTTACACGCTGCACGGCAGATGTGAACGTGCCAATGAGGCTCTTCAATATGCATTGCTCATGTTTCCCGGTGTTCTGCGTCCGCTGTTAGAAGAGATGTCTGTGCAAACGGATAAACGCGTGCTAGCGTCATCGTATTTCTTTACCGATGTGTCTGGCGAGTGAGTCACCATTTATTCCTATCAATGAGTGCCAGTGCTAATCTAATCACTAAACTTTCTTTTTCTCTGTTATAGCCAATCGCCAGCACTTCACCAGCTTGTTTGCTTGTATGTATGTCGAGCCAAGGTCATTTGGCGGCAAAACGATGTTCTCTTTTGGCTGGAATCGACTGTAAATACTGTCTTGGATCGCATTGACAGCAAGGATCCAATTATCAATGATTACAAAGAAAAGCGTTCAGTTCGCTATGGTGGCACACCACCGCGACCTATCTTACGACATGTCATACTCTCCGATTACAAAGAGAAGGTGCCTCTGGCCGTTTTCGTTTCGAAAGAGAAACAGGCCATCATGACCTACGACCCACTGCCACCCGTTGACAGTGTCAATTGCTACCAGCGGTTAGTTCAAGATTGGATTCCTTAGATATTTCATTACTAATTTCTCGCATTAACAGCAAATCATCTTCAAGCAGCAGCCCCACAACCAACACAAACAATTCTGTGTCCATGTTTTTTCAGTCGCTGTTGCCGTCTTTCAATCTAAACAACATTGCAGCCGCACAGCAGCAACCAGATGCCGTTGCCGGAGCTGGTGCTGTTGCGCCCGACTTGCTGGGACTTCCGCCGCGCCAAGCCAACGCTCAAGGCGAAGCTGAAGGTTAAATTTTGATTTGGTTTTATCTTTTTTATGCCTGTTAATTAGAGTTCAACGATTATTTTATTATATCTGCATATGCTATTTCATTTACTCCCGCAGAAGCTGGGCTCCAGCAATCATTGACCCTGATGATGGACGCCATGCGTGACTTTCTGCAAAACTTCCGTATTGCAGAGCATTTACGCTCACCGGAAACAGCCGTTGCTCAGTCGAGCAGTAGCAATGACGACGAAGAAGAAGGATCTAGCGACTATGTGGATTAGAGCGGTCAATTATTATTATTATAATACATTATATCCTCCACAGACACTTAAAAACAACAATGCACCACACACGTAACCAACCAAAATAATTTGCATTGCTTACTGTACGCAGCATCCCAGAGCGGAGCTCTCGAGCCAGTGTTTTTGGAAAACACTTCATGCAGCTGTCACAAAATTTAAAAGCAAATTTCTAATATGCATGTGTTTTCATTGCATTAATTAAATTCCTTGTCAAAGCTTTAGAACAAATGCATTGAGTATTCTTACTGTTTGGGTCAAGGGAAAAAATATTGCAGTTATCAAGTACATCGCCTTGAGCTTAAAGAATGTTTTATTGATTTAATGAATGCCTTTTTCAGTTACGCTTATCAATATAACAAACAGATTTCTCATCAATATTAGTTTTCATCATTTTTCTCTTTTACATATAAACCTTTTGCAGTTATTGCAATATATAAATATTACTATGACAAGTACAATTTCATATATAATTGTGTTTAGAGCGGGATTCAATGGAGCGCCGTTTGGTGTGTGTATTGTTTGTTTGCATGTTGAGTATGTGTATGTGTGAGTGTGTGTAAGTGTAGGTTATAAAAAGTTACACATATACAATTATATAATCTTGTAGAAGTAATGCACCTTATAAAAAGTTTAACTGGCAGACATTGTTGTTTAAAGATCTTTTAGCTTAAATTCAAAATCAGAATCACACAAAAAATAATCATTTGGCCAAATATGATTTACGCGTATTGCTGATATACAAACATTTAGGACAACTTTAGAGCTTAACACATAGAAAATCATTAACGGCTAAGCAATACTATAGCGTGGAATACGTGATCGCATATAGAATATAGAAAACGAAATCAAAACGAAAATAATAAGTAATTAAACGCAGCATTTCACAGATAGCCGCGAACAGACAACGATAATGATTATGTCATTGTACCAAAGACAGGATTATGACGACAAATGCTGGGTCCGTACTCCTCATAGGCAGCCTTCGTGTGACACACCTGATAAAACTCGGGCTGAAAAGTGAAATATTTATTGAGTTATGATTTCTCATAGCTTTATAATCGAAGCTTACCGTTGAGGCCAGCATACTGCCTCCAAACCAGACGGCATAACGCTGCATATGATGTGTAATCACCGAAACATCGATAGGTTTTGGCTGAAATGATAGTTCGAATTGACATGACTCACTATTGACTCATAATATAAGACATCAGCGAGTATGTACCTTAATGCGTCCCTCTGACAAGTTCTCACTAATTCGCAAACGCGTATCTACCGACCGTTTTATATCTCGTTGCAAGCGTCTACCAAAGTCCTTGAACATAGTCGAGCCGCCGCTCAATACAATATTGTTATAGAGAGGGCGTCGTACATCAATTGGACAGTTCTGTATGACATTGTCAACAATTTCCGAGAGTGGTATGGTAAAATCCGGATTCGAGAATTCAGGATGAAAGAATATCTCCGGCCCGAGGAAACGTTCATACCCGACATCCACGCCGAACGGTTGTTTTGTGACAGTGTTGAGACCCGTATAGTTGCGTATCCACTTGTTAGGCTCCGCATCGTACTTGGCAAACTCTTTGGCTATATCTGGGCATATGTAGCAGTGCTTCTCTTTAATCGCTTTGGCAGTCTCGAGGCTCTGTTCTGGCGGTATGCCCACCTCCCGTTCACGCAATAAGCTCTGAATGAATGACGTAATGTTGCGACCGGCAATCGGTATATGCTTGATGCATGAACCAATCACATAGCCCTCCGCCTGTTGAAAAATTAGGGGGAGAGTAGAAAACAGTGATAAGATATGCTGAGTAAATAATACAATTTGTAATACACATACCACAGGAATAACGTGTGTCACACCGTCACCGCTGTCTACCACAATGCCGGTTAGGGTTCGCTCTTCCGCTGATCGAGATGCCCAACTGGCGGCCAGAGCTAGCACGGCTTGAACCGCAATATAAAGACCAGGAACATTAAACGTCTCAAACATTATTTCCGCAGTATATTCTCGATTCTCTGGAGTATTTAGAGGCGGCTCGGTTAGCAGAAAATAGTGATCTTCTGGCTCGGCACGCAAATACTTAAACACGCATTGTTCCAAGAAACGCTCCATTAGATCCCAATCCTCAACCAGACCATGACGCACAGGATACTACAAAGCACAAGACCACAACACCACACTACGTTTTAGCACTTTTGATAAACCGTTTTTTATCAGCTGTTCTCATATCACGAAGTTATTCACGAGCTGCGATACCGTACCAAATGCG